CCGGGGAGCTGTGCCCGTGAGAGCCGGGGGGCAGAGGGAGAAACGACCCACTGCTCTCCGCAAGGGAGAAAAAAAATACCTCTTGCCTGCCCTGACAGCCTAGAGGGAGAATGCCATCACTCCATTTTAGTACCCATCGTTTTCATTTGCACTCCTTGCTAAGCTCTCCCTCACCCCTTCCTGGGTGGGGATGCAAAGTCTGCAGTGAGTCGGTACTGGGGGGAGGAATGGACAAACATTTGGTGAAATATTTAAATACTATTAAATAGAATCTATAAACTATAAATACGTACTTGCATGAAAACTGAATCCGAGTAATTGGCACATCCTGCCCCTGGGCGGTTCTTAGCACAACCTCCTTCCTCGCTATCCCCATCTGCCTAGCAGGTCGTCCTGCAGTGTAGAAAAGGGTGTAAATATTTCCCTAGTAATGTACATGCCCTGCAGTATCACCCTGCAGGTCTGTATTGCTGAGTTGCATTGACAAAAAGCGTCTGAGATTGGTAACTTCCTTCTCTGCCAGAAGATTCACCAGATCTTGGATACTGAATACTGGCCATCAAGTCACATCTGCAATAGTGGAAGAGATTCTCTGATCTTTACAGAGGCTGTGCTTCTCAACATGCAGGTTGCAGCAATAGCTAAGATGTTTTGGAGCTTCAGCTGCTTTATCTGCTGGTGGAACCAGCTGCTTAGAAATGGTTGCAAATCTCTGAGTTCTTGGTGGCAGTCTCAGATTTACACACTTGTAAATGAGACTAGGAGTGGGATCTGGACCGTTGTCTCTGTCCTGAATACACAGGGTCCTGCAGTTATCTCCCTGCTAATCATTTGTCTTAGCTGGGCTTCACCACAGTGAAGAGTAGCTAACTGGTGATCGCTTGGCGGACAAATTTAGCAAGCATACTGAAATTGGATAACCAAGAGCATTGCCCGAGGGAAGTTACACTTCTCTTTCTGCCCGATGTCAGTCCCCAGATCAAAAAGTCATTCCGACCAACCATTTAACAGAACTCTTTCTCCATATTTTTAGCATTTCTTGTCTGCTTTGATGCTGTTTATACACATCATTTTGTAGTTTGAGCAGGAAGCCAAAAGGTGTGTACAGTAAAACATGACAAGAGATAAAGTTAACTGAACTTTTAACCTCAGGGGAAACATAGGATGCTTCGTCCTGCTAAGTCACTTCCGATGAAAACTTGATTTCCCCTCTGGGGAAAGACATATATAGGGACTTATATAAATAATTATCATGATCTTATGATCATGCGTAAAATGAAGACATTCAAACAAATAACACTGTTCCACACTAACTATTTCGTTAAATAAAAAAAGTACTTGGTGTAAAAAGAAATACTGAATTTAATCCTGTTTGAAATCTTTTGCTTTGACTTAAACATTTCAGCCCTTCTTAAAACAATTTTCAAAAGAGCAACATCATTTAAATTATTTTTTTAAATGTTGGAAATTTCCTAATTTTTTCCCCAGTTTAAACACAATAAATTCAGACCTGAATTTCTCAGAGGTAGTTTTTGAGGCAAATAAACTGTCAGGGGAAAAAAAAAAAAAAAAAAAGTGGCTCCATGCTGGCTGCAGTCCTTTGCTCTGACAATTTAAAGAAATACTTCCTGAAAGAAACACTGAGAATAGGTCCAATAGAAAGGTAGTCTAGCAAGTGTCTAGAAGGAACCAGATCCTTTGGGAATGTTTAATCCCTGGAGCCTGTGTACTGAACATCTTCGACTGAGCAGGATGATTAGGACAATATATCTCAGTGATCTGTATTTACCTTAATTCTCCTGTGAGTTCCACAGCCCCTTTCCGTCCCACAGCTAGTTTCTCAGGGTGTGTGTTCCTCAGCTGTACCGACCCCACAGAACCACATCCCATGGAACAGGGCTGGAAATGCACATATCTGTAGCCTAAATCAACTCTTCACCTGCCTGTGTCCCACATCACTGCCAGTTGCACATATCTGGCAAGAGGCATTTTCAACATATAACCTTCTATACAAAAAGCCCCTATGTAAAAGGTGACAGAGCTTAGAGTAGTTCATGGTGATGCAGGAGGGAAAAAAGGTTGAGCAATGGCTGATTTAGCTTATTCTCCCTACATCAAGTTTTGTCTGACTCAGATGCTGCTTCCAAACAGCAGGCGTATTGACAACTTTAATTGCTTGTGGAGGACAGTAATTGCAATCTGAAGAGTACCTAATTTAAGTAATCAAGTTCATCTGGCAGTTCATCTAGGGACGATTATTTCAGTGCAGTAATTTTACTTAAAGGACTGTAAAGATGTGAAGAATGAAGGAATAATCTGTGAAAGTTTTACTTTCATTGTATTTGCTTCAGGTCTCTCCCTGATTATGCAGTCACATAGCAGAAAAAATGGATACTGGTTTAGCCCATTAGCCCTGTATTTCATTGCTAAAAAAAAGCTGGTAAATCCAGGGGTGGTAGAACTGAGGAACATAAGAGATACCATTCTGTAATACCAGTTCTTCCCTCTCACCTACAAAGATATCCTTGAGGGGAGTTTGAAAATACCCTGATTAGAGAATTTAGACAGAAATGCCAGACAATGCATCTGGGCAGGCTCCCCAGTTTGATAGTATTTGATATTGTGTGCTGAGTCTCAGACTGAGTTCTTGCATCAGCAATTCTGAGTAATGACTGCCTGCTGCTTCAGAACATGATTCATCTGTGTCCATGCTATTGAAACCTAAGGTTATGACACCAGAAAAATTCTTGCATAGAGGTATGTAAGTAGTTACAGTGGAGTCAGAGCAAGCAGTAGAGTTACTCTTGTACATAAGCATGCTCTACAAAAACTGTAGAAACCTATACTGTGGCCCTGAAGTGCATTAATAGCCTTAACACCAGCCTCTCCTGACCACCACCCATAGCCTCTGCCCATAGGTCCAAGAGCTCCAGTTAATCCCAGGCTTGGGCCTTTACTTCTAGCCTGAGTTACCTTGTAGGAATATTGATCTCCAGCTTAGTTATACTGCTGTATAGGTCTGGACTGTGACCTATGAACAGTTTCCTCATCTTGACCTTATATCTGCCTTGTTGCTGTGGATCTACCTAAGAATTGCTGGATTGTGTCTGATACCGGTAACCTTCACCCAACCTGGTTCTGACTATGAGTTGTAAGTAGTTTTCTTAGCCTGACCCTAGACATGATTCATCATAGTGAATGTGTTTGATGATCTGGACTCCTGCTTGAACCTGACCATTGCTTTTAAGTCTCTTCTCCTTACCTCACTCTGTAGGTACTGTGGGGACTATTCCCTACCCTGCTGTGCTGTCCCTCCCTTTCCCTTAGGGAACAAATGGTCATTGCTGGTCATCCCATTCCAGAGCTAGGCTAAAGGTGGCCCAGTATAGCAGGCTTCTCAGAGAGACCTGGGAAGCTGCTGGGCTGTAGGCAGTAAGACTTTTATGACTGACTTATCTGAGACAAGTGGGACAATCCTGATGGACTGAGATACCAATGTCAAGGTGTGTGTCAGTTTTGGAAGCCACTGCTTTCATGGTTCTATACCTCTGCTTGTCCAAATCCAGAATGGCAGTCTATCATACAGCACTAAACATCTACAAGGCTAGAAAATATAAATCAGCTGATTAACTAAGTACTAGAGAAGCACTACTATTTGTCTATTGTGTGAATCTAAAAATAAATGTACTCATTAATTATCTGCTGCCTGTTTGGAATGAGGGAAATATCACAAGTATTTACCATTGATTGCTAAACACACATAACGAAGGAAAGTGATGTGGCCTAGGGATTAGAAAATTTAAGGAGAATGGGGAGGCATGGCCTCCAGCCTTAATACCGACTGATTTCCCACAGCTATAAGAAAGATATTCAGTCCCAAGTCCCATCCACCTCCGTGCAGTGTTTTGAGACCTGGGATTGGCAAATGCTACCTAGATGCAAAAGACGATAATAAGTTAATGCAGCAGGGACACTCACAGGAGAAATGATTCATCTGTTGGCGCCAAGGCTGATGACTGGAGGCTATGAAACATGTCAGGTGCTTAGAGATGGAGGAGTGCGTGGGCCAGTGAAGTTGCTGAATATGTGTGGGGGGGATTGAATGGATGTTTCCCCAGGCTGCACACAGAGCATGCTGTCACCGACCAGTTATTACACAGCATATCCTTTTTTCCTCTTCCTCATCTTCTGCTTCCATATGCAGGCCAAGGACTTGTTGTAACTAGCTGATTGATATATTTTCTTTACTCATCAGCAAGATGCATCTGGATCAAAGCCCAAGATCTAATCACCCTGGACTTTGGCACCACTGAAATACAGATCTAGTTTATTTAGATTGCAACTTTGGTTACGATCTGTTCTCATGGGATATAAAATGGAGTTGATGGAAAAGGGTCCAAAGAAACAAGAAGGATCATGGTGTGCGTTTTGAGATCAGTAAGTGTAGAAGCATTGCCTCTGCAAGGCAAGCTAGAATAATTATGTATACAAGAACTGTGGGAATTCTGCTGAAGCATAAATTGACAACTTTTCAAGTATCTAATGACCAGAAGGAATTTTAGTGTGATATGACCCCTGCTTCCAGACTAAGTGATCAAGTTCAAAGCTCGTGATGATTATGCCATCTGGCTTTCCAAGCAAAAAGGGCCACTGGTCTTTCAGCTGCCAGTAACCAACAGTTTTATTGGCAGTCTTAGGAAATATAGCAAGAAATACGTGGACCATGAAGAGAAAATTCCCTTATTCTCCTTTTGAGATGGCCTCTCTAGTACCAGATAAGCTGATGATGCAGGATGGAGAAGACTGCAGATGTTTTAGAGCAGCTCTGGAAACAAAGTTATGGAAGTTCAAAGGTATTTTTGAGAAAAATGTGAATAGTTCAGGAAAAAACTTTAGAACAGGGATTATCTAAGGCCAAGAGATAAGAAATTGAATGATTTCTTCAGATTTGGCTGAAAATTAAGAAAAATGCATAAACCTAATTGTATCTTGGGCTTCCCAGGGGTAATGCTTCCCGGAGGAGGCAGTGAATATGCCAAACACATCAAGACTACTAAGAGAGGACAGGATGATGATCTCATGGAATTATATTCAGGAATGAGGGGTAAGGGGGAGACTATAAATAAGAATAATTTTTAATGTTTTGCAGAGTGAAACTAGGTGATTTCTGGGTATCTTTATCATTCTTTTACAGTCACTGTTCCTTCCCATCTAATCACATTACACAAATAGGTCAGGAGTAATTAATCTTTAGTTTCAGGATGTGAGAGCGTATCTCTAAAGAGCATGTACAGCTTGAGAGAAGGCAGTCCTCATAGACTTCAGTGGGG